TGTCTGGATATAGTAGTGTATAATGAGAATCAGAATCACTTATTCCACAGAATGAATTCTACACAATAACTAATGTCTTTCTCATTTAAAAATGTGTAATACATAAAAGAAAGCAAATGCACTCCTCTTTTTGGCCCAGGTGCACTTGCACACAAGACATTAATTATACATAGTGAATGAAATATGAATTATAAAATGAATTATTCATGTTTATAATTTAATAATTGTGAATAATTAATATAATTGTATTGCATTATATATTAAAAATATATGATAGTGTTTTGCTCCATAATCAAACCCCAGAGGACGGGATGGTAAAATGTATCCTCCGTTTAGATGCAGATATATGAATGTAGTTAGAAATGGTTAATCTTCCTTCCAATTATGTATTTGTCTCCATTACACTTTGACACATCTTACAGATGACACAACTGTGGGTAATGTGCCAACAGGGCCACAAGGAAACCAATTGAAAAGTTTAAGAGGCAGTACGACATAACATGAGAGATATAATCAATCACCATTAAATGGGAAGAGATTTCAGAAGCTTATTTTACAGTGCCCATAAAATTTTCACCGTTTGGTCGTTTTCATGTTTTATTGTTTACAACATCGAGCCAGAGGGGATTTAAATGGGCTTTTGACAAAGAAAAAGTTAAAGTTATTAGGAAAGGTTCATCCAAAAATTGAAAGTGTGCTGAAAATGTACTCACCCTCAGGCCATGCAAGTTGTAGATGAGTTTGTTTCATTATCTGAACAGATTTGGAGAAATGTAGCATTGATCCTCTGCACTGAATGGGTGCCGTCACAATGAGAGTCCAAACATCTGATAAAAACATCACAATAATACACTAGTAATCCATACCTCTCCTGTCCATCAATTAACATATTTTGAAGCAAAAAGCTGCGTGTTTGTAAGAAACAAATCCATCAAGACATTTTTAACTTCACTTTGTTAAAATGTGAGAAGACAACAGGGGATGGACTGTTTCACTGGATGGATTATGGACTTGTGTTCTGGCCAAAAGCAAAGGTTTAAAGTTAAAGGGTTCCTCCACCCCAGAATGAAAATTGTCATTAATCACTTACCCCCATGTCGTTTCAAATCCGCAAATGCTTCGTTTTTCTTCGGAACACAATTTAAGATATTTTGGATGAAAACCGGGAGGCTTGTGACTGTCCCATTGACTACCTAGTAAATAACATTGTCAAAGTCCAGAAAAGTATGAAAGACATCGTCAAAATAGTCCATCTGCCATCAGTGGTTCAATCTGAATTTTATGAAGCGAGAAAACGCTGGTTACAACAACAGGCATTCCTAAAAGATGGGGAAAAAATACAAACAAACACAACTTCCCAATAATAATGACTTTCGATGTTGCACAAAATTTGGTCAACTCTCGAAAGGAAAATATTTAGTATTGATGTTCTGTATATGTGGTTCATAATTACCTGGACCATAATGTGCTTTTACTGTAAAATAACAATATTGATTAAATAGAAAGTTTTCATTAATCCCCCTATCACTTATTTTTTTCTCCCAATTTAGAGATGATTTCAACAAAAAATATTACTGAATGTAAACCCAAGTTTAACATTTGTCTACTTTCGCCATAAATATGCTAAAACAATGTGAATGAGTCCTGAGGTAATGAACTGAGCAATGCTTTCAGACTACCAACAAAACTGAGGTATAGATGTGTGGAGTAACAGGAAAAAGAAAATGGTACAAAAGTAATACTTGGCATTTATTGGTCAAATGCTGAACTCTATAATCCATTTAGAGCTACTATACCATAAAACTGAAAACTACTAGCCATGATCCATGGAAAACAGTTGATCCAATTGGTCTGTTACAACAAGTGTTCTTTTCAATACATGACAATACAGATTCTTAAAAAGTAGCAAAACCACTAAATGGAGTCATCATGCATAACAAACAAAACACTAAAATGCTCAAGTAGTTCATTAGAACAATGCAGTTCTCTGGGCGAATGTTGGACTGCATCACAAAGCTCATGTTTCAGACTGTTTGGCAGAAAGATGCTGTTTATTTTGCTTCATAAAAAAAGGTTACAAAAATGTAAAAATAAATAAAATAACAGGTGTAGGGTATTAATGCCAGTCAATTGAGTTATGATACACTTCAAGGAAAGTCAGTGACTGCAGACGCACACACGCAAACAAACACCCCACAAAGTTGCAATGTCGTTTTTACAAGAGACTGCATCACACATTCGGCAGTACTAACTGAATAAATATCTGTGGACCAGAGTGATTTTATATGCCAAGATTCTTTAATTCATGGTCATAAAAAGATGGGCGTACATGGGGCCCGATTCATGGCATTAAGTCAAATGCAAAATTCCTTCAATATTCATTTAAATTGCTTATTGTAACCAAGAACAAATGGAAATATACCATAATATTGTCACTCTTACTAATATCATAGTCTTTATACAATAGTCTTTTGGATCCATGAGCTGTAATTAGCCTAAAGAGACAGTTCACCCAAAAATAAATATTCTGTCATTATTGATTCACCCTCATGTTGTTCCAAACCTGTATGAATTTTTTCTTCTGTTAAGCACAAAAGGTCATATTTTGAACAATGTTGTTAACTGCCGATACCTATTATTCTCTCCACACTATGGAGGTCAATAACTACCAGCAACCAACATTTATCAAAAGATCAAAGTAAATGATGACAATTTTATTTTTGGATGAACTATTCCTTTAAAGGGATTGTGCAGTCAAAAATTAAAACTCTGTCTTCATTTACTCACCCTCAAACCTGTATGACTAAACCTGTAAAATAATTTGAGAAATGTCTCAGGGTTTTCATTTTTGGGTGAACTCACTCTTCCTGGTATCCCTCCCAGCAGTCTGAATTAATGAAACATACTGAATTATTTTAACATTGAAGTCAGATTTGACTAGCAGTAACATAATTAAAGAGAACTGGTACAATATCTAGAGCTGACTGTTCAGGTGAGAGAACTAAGCACAAGAAAGAAAGAGTTATGGTCTTTTTTTTTAACAAAGGCAGGGTGCTAAACAATGAATTAACCTCTCAATCATCACCAACACCTATAAGATCAGCTTATTGAACGGTTAAATCTAGGCACTAAACAGATAAAGTACTTCATTATAGTCTACTAATGAAGTTACAATACTCAATACATCTGAAAGAAGCTTAGGGTTCATAATGTAAAATGTAATGGCCCATATTGTTAAAAAAAAGCAATAAAATTTAACAAAGGCAGGGTGCTAAACAATGAATTAACCTCACAATCATCACCAACACCTATAAGATCAGCTTATTGAACGGTTAAATCTAGGCACTAAACAGATAAAGTACTTCATTATAGTCTACTAATGAAGTTACAATACATCTGAAAGAAGCTTAGGGTTCATAATGTAAAATGTAATGGCCCATATTGTTAAAAAAAAGCAATACAATCCTATAAGAGTATGAATGGTCGAAAAAGTTTTCCCTTCGTTGTAATCTTTGGGTCGCAAGTTCTTGGTACCTTCCTACAGGGACATATTAAGTAGCGTAAAATAAAACAAGCCACATTTTTAAATGCACAATTAAATAAGCTGGCCAACTGACCGGTCCCGTTTAATTTGTAAACTTTTTTTTGTTTTTTTGAGCAGGACCTTAACTCCTGATATTGCAGAAGTCCCGAAAGATATGGTCCCATCGATGAGGTATTGATCCGAGAAGTAACAGTAACACCTTGTACTTTTTCCATGTACCATCATGCTTATTACTGACAGAGATATTGTAAAAATTCAGGGTCGAGAGTGGGAATGTGCGTAACAGGTGGGACCTATATCCCTTCGATACAGGGCATAAATTGTAAGTGCAGGATCCGTCTGCCTCTAGAAATGGTAGATAACGGCTTCCCTAAGGAAGACTACGTATTCAGATACATGCCACTGATGCTGGGAAAACCAAATATCACAACCGGCAACTGAGCATTTCTCCAAGTTCAAGATGTTGAGCCATGCGAACACTTCACGCAAACAGGAAGACGCTACTCTAGTTGAGGATACTAGGAAAGTCAGATCCTCTTTTAAAGTCAATAAAATTAGAATATGAAGTGTTAGGAGCTTCAAGTTTCTTTCCAATAACCATTTCAATGCAATTTTCTTGTCATCTCGTCCTCAGACTCCTTGCCTCTTGAAGATATCCTTGGTTGTGCACGTCATGCAATCGATGACAATTGTGCAAGTTCAAGTCAAAAACTGTAAGCCATCCTTGACCCATGGCGAAAGGTTGAAGAAAACATCTAGAATCTGACATGTAAGTCGAGACTTTAATTATATAAAAATCCAGTATGACATCTGAACACAAGAGGTATTTCATGTTGAGTACTAAGTCAGTAAGGACTGGTTGATTCGATCGCAGGAGATGCGTTACGCTATCTCTGGTTCATTTGATCACATTCCAAATGTTGTAAAAAGAAACAAGACCAGCATGCTGCATGGGCCTATTAACTAGCGAATTCCTTTTCCACGACATCTTCATGTAACATGTTTAAAATATTTACAAAGTTTTAGGATCTTTTCAAAAAGGAAATTCTTCGATCCTTATTGTGATGGTCTATGCAGCCCTACTTTGATATTTACACTGTGTACACAGCTTGTTGTTACTAGTATTTGCTTCTTCCAATAATCCCTAAAATTAGGGAAATGAAATGGAGGTAAAAACATCTTAAATTGTGTCAGATGTCTAATTACCTCAGTGTACCTTCAAACTAGCAAAAAAGGCTACACGTTTCTTGCATGTCCATTATCAGTACTTGAAATGAATTTGAAAGTCTGACTCACTTCAAGAAGCAACAAATCACTGGAAAACCTCCCCACCTATCCTCCTAAATTTCTTTTATCTACACTCTCTCATATCGTTTTGTCCATGTGCGTCTGTAAGTGAGCCTGGAGCCTTGAAGACTGGGAGAAACTCTTTCCACATTGACGCGTTACGCTATCTCTGGTTCGTTTGATCACATTCCAAATGTTGTAAAAAGAAACAAGACCAGCATGCTGCATGGGCCTATTAACTAGCGAATTCCTTTTCCACGACATCTTCATGTAACATGTTTAAAATATTTACAAAGTTTTAGGATCTTTTCAAACTTGAATTATGAAAAAATACCCAATGGAAAAAGGAAATTCTTCGATCCTTATTGTGATGGTCTATGCAGCCCTACTTTGATATTTACACTGTGTACACAGCTTGTTGTTACTAGTATTTGCTTCTTCCAATAATCCCTAAAATTAGGGAAACGAAATGGAGGTAAAAACATCTTAAATTGTGTCAGATGTCTAATTACCTCAGTGTACCTTCAAACTAGCAAAAAGGCTACACGTTTCTTGCATGTCCATTATCAGTACTTGAAATGAATTTGAAAGTCTGACTCACTTCAAGAAGCAACAAATCACTGGAAAACCTCCCCACCTATCCTCCTAAATTTCTTTCATCTACACTCTCTCATATCGTTTTGTCCATGTGCGTCTGTAAGTGAGCCTGGAGCCTTGAAGACTGGGAGAAACTCTTTCCACATTGAGGGCATCGGTTGGTCGTCTCCTCGTGCGTTTGTCGATGGGCTCTGAGAAGATGCGCTCGGCTGAACTTCCTGCCGCACTCTTTGCAAGCATGGGATTTATGGTTTTATGAGTTAATGAAAATCTAATAATTAATTTACTCTTAAAAATGTAAAACAAAAATAATTTAAATACTTGAACACTAAAAATAGAAACATTTGATTTGTTTACCTGCATGTCAATGTGACCATTAACTGATATCACAGCACTGTAAACATGTGAATCGTGTGTTGTTAAATTATTCAGACATTAACTAAACTATTTTATTTTAAGGAGTTTGGCTAACAAAAAACATTTTGGAATCTCTGCATTACATGAACATAACAATGACATTTTTGGGGGGTTTGAAATATTTGTCTGGAATTCAACAGTTACTGAAGGTCACTGAATATGATGACGACATTGTGTTTCACAGCTATACGTCACCAGAGTTCAGTTACTTGCATAATTATTTGTTTTGTACATGGTCTTATTATGGGCTGAATATAGGCAAAGCTAAATTGTATGACACATAGTAGGACTTTTGGAAAGGAAAAATTAAAAGAGAAAAAAGAACTAGAGAGAATCGATAAATTATGATACATTTACTGCCACTGTGTTTATAGGTAATCAATAAAAAAGTAACCTAAATATGCACAAATTTTAAAATGTTATTTGATTAAGTAAATTACATGTAATCAGTTACAACCCAGCACTGACCGTACTAGATCATCAGCACAGCTCAGCCTACCTGTGGAGCTGATGACAGGAACGCCTTGAGTCTCAGAGGTTAAAGAAACAACCTCCATATCGTCAAGTGGCAACCAGGGTGGCTGGCCCACCTCAAGCTCCAGCTTCCTCTGAGTGGCCAGGCAAGACGGCATGAGCGTCTCCCGAATTAAGCTGTCCATGTCGGTCACCGAGCCCGAGCTCAGCCCAGTGAGCTCCTCTTTACTGTTGGTGACCTCTTTGAACTGCCAGAGGTCACTGCACCACTTCTGCCCGAAGACTTTGTCCAGGATGGGCACCCAGTCCTGAGCCACTGCAATGACAGTCTGCTTGTCTGGTTCTGTTGAAAAAAAAAATTAAAAAAAAAAATAAAAAAAAAAACGGGGATGGAAATGAAAAATAATGACTTATTTTTCAGGTTTAATTATCTCCATTCATTTAAAGAAGTAGGGTTACACACTTAAGGAAATTGGAAACCAAATGACCTTTATTTGCTGATTTCGCATTCAAATATCCAGAGATATTTACAACATAAAATTCGCTTTTAAAGGTGATTTTTGCATTTGAAAGCAATAACTAGTTAGAATGAAATTAATAATAATTGAAAACCATGACCATATTTCAATACAAACACCTGGGTCTTATTCAATAATTACCTGCAATGCAGGCGCTATCAGTCTGAAAACAAGACATTTATTGTGAGCCGAATCGTTGGCCTGGTCTGCTTTTTTTTTTTACATAACAGTTTAAAAATAGATGTCTGAATGAAACCAAAAGAACAGATGGAAAAACAATAAAAGTACTTTTGTTTCTGCTCTGTCCGCCACTGAACAATAAACTGAGGCATGCCAATATAATGCATTAATAAAAAGGGAAATTAAATTTTGGTATAATATTACCTTTGAACATTGGGTATATTATATTGAATACTCAGCATTTTACATCAGCTTTTTAACATTAGCTCCACACCAGCCATATTTAAATGAACTCAGAGTATTTTTTTAGCACAGACATGCCTTCTATGAAAAATCTGATTGCATCTTATTCTCAAAAGCCTGGTGCAATTGATTTCTGCCCATGGAAAGTGGGCACTAAACTGAATTTTATTTAAAATTAATGTTTGTGTACATTTTTATTGATCGTAGGAGCCAATCAAACGATGGACAACAGTTGCATATCCAGCCTGATACCCAACGACAAATACAGGAACATTGAGAATTTCATTCAGAGACATTTCAGGTTCCAGGTAGAGGAATGATGTAGAGTTACAGTTAAGTAAGCCATATCACGATAGTCTGAACCCTCCACAACTTAGTGCTCAGAATCAGCCTGAAAGTTAGGGAACTGCATCAAACAAATAGGATTTTTACAGTTACCTGATTTTCATAATTTGTTTAGTGAACCGGTCCCTAAACCAACACGGACAGCGCATGCAAATAAACAATGTTATCAGTGGGCACAATTCATTGGGAGTAAATTCTTTCCACAAAAAGAAGTGATTCTATCCAACTTTACACTACCAGGGTCAGTAGGTTTTATTTAGTTATTTTTTTAATTTAAGAAATTAATACTTTTATTCAGGAGGGATGCATTCAGCTGATTAAGGGTGACACTAAAGATTTTATAATGTTACAAAAAAAATCTACTTAAAATAAAGAAAATGTAAAGGTTTTCACAAAAAATTAAGCAGCACAACTGTTTTCAGCATTGATAATAATAAGACTGGAGTAATAATACTGAAAATTCAGCTTTGCATCACAGGAATAAATTACAAGTTACTGTCCTGTCCTAATAAAAGGTAATAAATGCCAAAAAAATATCTTTAAAAAAAAACAGAAAATCGTAATTGTTTACATTTAGTAATATTTTGCAATATTACTGTTTATAGGCTACTGTATTTTTGATCAAATGAATGTAGCCTGGGTGAGCATTCTTCAAAAGCATCTTACAGACCCCAAACCTTTGAACAGTAGTGTACATGCATTCTAATGATCAACTACTAGACAATAAAACTGTTTGTACCATTTGTGGTTTCAGTTTTTTCCCACTCTTTTTTGTGCGATTGGTCCTGCAGGCCTTTCGACTCTTGCTTTTCTGCTTTGGAACTGCTAGGAGAGGCAGAGTCGTTTTTGCGGTCCTCCGTTTCCACAGCAAGCACATCACTGTCCTCCACTATGTTCTTGTCCTGTAACTGCTCTTTTAGTATCTGGTTTTCCCACTCCTTCTTGGTGAACTCCGAGAGCAGGTCGTCAAAGCTGTCTTCCGCGATTTTAGTCAGCTCACAAACGGCGAATTCCAGCACATGTTCCATTACAGATTTTAACTGACCTGAAAATGGAGACATTATGATATATTTACTCAGAAAAATCCATCTGTAAAGGTCTTGTGACACAAACAGGTAGTTATATATAGCCTGTAGGTTGTCGAATCACTCTCTGCACCATCCACACACTGCAGAGAAAGGCACAAAATAAAGCCGCTGGCTGACATTTATGAGAATCCCACCAATTTGCTTCGCTCCCTACTTTCTGCAAGAAATGTTCCGATTTAAAGTCTCAATTATGCTATGTCAAGATCTGAATGCAATCTAAGAAAACTGCCACTACGAATGCGTATCTGTTGATGCAGAAATGGAACTGATGGACTGTATAAAATTGAATGGTGTATTTTAAGCCTGACCTGGCTTGTATTCAAATCAGAAGTGCTGCAGGTCTGAATTTTGATTTGGACGCTTATCTTGGAACTTGTATGAAATGCACCTCCCTGCAGAAATACAGCCTTTAAAATGCACCGCATGTTGTCCTCTGCATTCCTCCCTGACTGTACACAGCCCATTTTGATCAGACAACATCTAGAAGTGCCTAAATGCCAGTCATAATGTCAAAGCATAAAATATGAACAATATTAACATCTAATTGTCAAAGATATTATATACTAACAGAAGTAAAAAGTGGTCAAGTTTTCCTACTAAAGTTATAATAAAATAAATATCTAGCAAATATACAAATGTACACAAATATATAGATTTTAGAGGCAAATTTTGAGTTCCTAAAAATGGTGTAAAATCTTTTACTGGAGCAGATGCACCATAGAAAGTAAAAAAAATAAATAAAAAAAAATAGTGATGTTGGAAAATGTCTGATATTGTAAATATTCGTTCTTCAATCTTAAACTATGTAATTTACAATCTGGCTCACTAATGATGAAAATGTGCAACACTTTCTAGGCAATATGAAATGCCATTCACTACTCATTTTACTTCTGTAATATGATGAATTGCAGTATGAAACAGAATATTCAAGAAAAAATAAATTTAGGGCATGATGATGACTTTACCCTTTCGCAATTGATTTGATATTTAAAGCAAATATTTTTTTTTTGCAATGTGTCTTTATATTTTGCCAGAAATATAGGGCTTTCTTTACGGTTTTTCCTTTTCATAAATATTTTATTGCTACATATGTAATTTCACTCCATTAATTATTTTGAGAGAAAATGATAGCATACAATGCAGAACATTTTTTAACAAATTTTTTTTAACAGATAATATCACAGGTGTGCATTGTCTGCTGAAAGCCTCTCACAATCCTTACTGTTGAGCCTTAGTGCTGACTTTAAGAAAGCTGCAATTGAAAATAATATCGATTTACCTATTCAAATACAATTTTTGAAGCATATGTAACTGCCATGATGACTTAAATTAATCAAGATCAGATATTCCCATTCAATTTTAGTGGTGCATCTATTGCAAACGAATTAAATGGTGCATTTCTGAAAAAAAAAACTCTTTGTGTGCATGTTGACACGCCAAGCTATGACATCAAAGCGGATCATTGGGCTCCTTTGTGATTTGGCTGCAGTCTCTGCTTAGGATGAAGACTCTCATGATACTCCCCACTGAAACCCCAACCATGGATACCCTCCACAGGGTCTGGTAGGTGTGGCTTCTTCTAACCACCTCCATTGGCCAAAATGCAAGGCAAAGGCACACTCCCGATGGCTACCGTCACCGCAGTATGAAAAGCAGCGCTAAGGAGCAGCTCAACGACAGAAGCGTCATCACCCAAACCAGCCATTGGCAGCAGTCACAACAAGTCAGCCATACTCCAAACATTAAAAGGACTATGCATACATGCCCACACAGGCCTGAAGACTGCTGACTTAAGATTAATTTCAAAGACCAGACATCATAACTTCCTTCAATCATACAATTCCACTCAACAAAGACAAAACATTCAGACTAAAACAATGTGTTGTTTCTCTACAGTCTCCCATGCACAATTATGTAGACTTACACACTTCCTCCATTGGAGTAAATTATTGGTTTAAAAAAAAAGTGAGATCTGTGGACCAGTTTATCTTAATTACTATCTGAACTGAAGAAAATAAATAAATAAGTTAGACTTATAAATCAAACAGGTATTCTAGTAGTTGTGTTTTGCATGGTAGATGGTTTGTAGTTGGTTTAAGATGCTCATTACTTGGTGCTAACTGACCATCTTGGACCAGCAAGAAAACAGTTGGTCAAGACGGTTTTAGGAACTAGTCAACCAGCTAATGACCAACTTAGACCACCTAGAAACCATCTACCATGTTCAAAAAACAGAGTTACCATCTAAAGCTGGATTTTCCATCTGGGCTTGGTTTGGGTTTAACTACAGGGTAATTCCTGCCACGTTTCTAAAATACAAGGGCGTTTAACCAAAATAAGGGAATTGAAATCCATGGGTACAAAAGCAGACCAAGTTTATTACGACTTCCTCCTTCCGTTCAAAATGGTGCATACCCTTGTTTTCATAAACCTCGCCACTGCGCACCAAGCCATCGAGTCACATTTGCATTGTAAACACGAGCGTTTCAATAACACGGATTATTGAACAAGATACCCAACACGTTTTCTTAATTTCCATTCAATGAAAACATGGTTTGCACTCAGATAGCCTTACCAACTGCTCGCGCTTTCTGTTCACGCCTGAGCGTTTCAGATTGAACGCCACATTCAGGGCTTTGACTGGGGGCGTGTTGCTTTGTTTCATCGTTCGTGTCGGTTTTTCTCTTATACGCAGCGCTATTCCCGTTCCCTCCACGAGACTGAAGGGTCGCCCTTAAACGCTGATTTTCTTGCTCTTTGGTGGCCGTTTCCAATAGCATTGAATTCAAAGTGGCCCCAACAGTCTTGGTGATTTCCTGAACGGCGAGCTGCACTACCTGCTCCAGCGCGGACTCCAGCTGACCTTGGAAAAACGAAATGTAAAGGGCACCGTTCATGTTTACGACCGCTCCGTTGGAAGACCTCTTTCATTCTTCCTCTTCCCACCTACCAAAGTAGTGTTAAATATACAGAAGTCCCCCAGAACAACTGCCTAGAAACGAACCGTCACCCCTTTCTCGCGAAACGCATCGTGGATGGATACACCCCTCGGTATGCAATACCGTACTCCACTTCGTCAAGACGCATTGGGAAAGTCCAAGTAGTCCACAAGCATATCAAGGATCTTCCCTCAGACGACCACTACGCCATTTTGCCCTAAATATGAAAACGTCTTGCGCACATAACCCAGAAATGAGCGGTAGGAAACACATCAGAGCAAAACGCGGCTTTGGCTTTCGATACAAGTAATTTAACCGAGCTGTTTGCGGGGTTTTGTATGCGATGTCGCAGGCGAGTAGCGCGCATTAATGAGCCGATTCATTTAAACTCTAATGTAGATTATAGCCACTCAGTTATTGCCAGTTATATCCAGTTACAACCTACTTTTGTCTAGCGTATTATTTAGATTTTATTGCATAGGACTGCCACTTGTAACAAAACGTTTAGTGTGCGCTCTTCTAGTTTAATTACGGTAAAACCGCCGCTGCATTATCTAAGAGGAAGGCGGGGCTAGATTTACGCTAGATTACAGATGTAAAGGCATGTGTGGCACGATGAAATTTGGCTGCCATGGTGTGTATATATATATATATATATATATATATGTGTGTGTGTGTGTGTGTGTGTGTGTGTGTGGCATCATCAATTTAATTTTTTTACATAAATTTGGTGTTTAGTGCATGTGAAATTTAAAAGTAATTATTATTCATTCTATTGACCATGCCCACAAAAAGCATATAAACACACGTTTTCAGTTATTGGTGCCATTGTAAAAAAAATCACTCCTTCATTCATTTCACAAGTGAAAGATGTCTACATAAATGTCATGTTAAAGGGTTAGTTCCCCCCACAATTTAAATTTACCCGCAAGTTGTTCCCAATCTGTACGAGTTTCTTTCCTCTGTTGACTACAAAAGAACATGTTTTGAAAAATGTTGATAACCAAACAGTTGACGGTAGTCATTGACGTCCATAGTATGAAAACTATGCAAGTCAATGGCCACCATCAACTGTTTGGTTACCAACAGTTGTTTAAAATATCTTCTTTAATGTTCAACACACACACACAAAAGAACAACAGAAGGTTTGGAACAAGTGGAGGGTGAGTATGTGATGACAGAATGTTCGTTTTTGATTGAACTTTCTCCAAGCACACAAAACAAAACAAAAATGTATTAGACTACTAATATGACTGCAGTCTTCATCTCCTGTGACTACATAATTTTTTAAAAAAAATTCAGGAGTGCTGTTTATTTCATTGTGTGTAAAACTTTTTTTTTTTAATGACATCTGTTGAGTTTTTGAAGTTGTAAAATAGCAGGAAAAAACTTCTCCGTAGTGTGTGCGATCTGTGGCCACGCATATACCACAGCCCCGGTTCCTGTTACTATCAGGAAGAAGACCGTGGCACTCACACTAACACAGTATTTTTAGTGTATTGGGGCAAAGAGAGACACAAGTAATTTTAGGTATTTTCTGTAGGTAAAAATTGCTTGTACACAAGACCATAGTTGATTGTTTTAAGGTTAAAGATCATAATTACTTAATTATTCAATTATTCATTAATTTTGAACCGATGATTTTCTATAATACTATAAAATAATTATTTCTTTACTGTTGGAAGAATTCAGTTTTCACATTGCTTTTTTGTTAGGTCCCATTCAGTCAATATTCAACTATTAATCTTGCTTTTATTCAAGGAAATTTTATTCATTGCAACTTGTGAAGTGAGTGTTCAGAAGTGCAAATGACAGCACAAATCAATATCATACAGTTATTTATAGATACAAACATATTCAAATCTGAATAAGAATTGCCAGCAGTTTACATGTCAAGACTATAAAAATACAATAAAAGTTTGGTTTTGTCATTTTCTGTTAGGAAAGCTTCTGCGGTGCCTAACAGTTGCAGCACTTAACAACTTCATGCAAACCAAATATTGCTATTTTAAATATATTTAAGTACTTACATTGAATTAAATGATTCAGAATATTCAAGAGATCTTTCAATATAGATCATTTAAAAATGGACAAATTAAGGATATAGAACTATATAGGCTAGCTATTAATTTTTTTAATATATATATATATATATATTTTGTGCATGTTTGCTGAGGTTGTCATTGTCTTGTAGATGTAGACACTAAGCTTGTGAGTAAAAGAATATATGGCTCGTTAATATACTGCGTGAAGTGGTCATGGATAAGCAGACATGTAAGCAGAGCACTCACCATGATAATACTTATATCACGATTTAAATAACACATTCTGTTTCAAAGTCTGCCTTAATTATGTATCTTGTAAGTTACTCAACTAATTACAATGCTCTAATCACAGCACACAGTTTTCAAACACCAGGGGGTGCAGTATGATAATTGTATCGAATAAAGCGTGTTTAATAGTGTTATCCTTTTTGGCATAATAGCTAAACTAATTGCATTCAACTTTTCAGTGGAGAACAATAGAATAAAACAATACCTTGATTAATTAAAAAATACCTTAATTAGGAATCATAAACAATTAGGCTATGAAAAAAAGCATGAATAGCCTACAGCTGCTATACAGTTTTAGGTTAAGACTTCCAGTGAGGAAGCACAATGTGACAATTACAGTTCAGCCAGGTCTTCTGGTCTGCCAGGATCTTTAAAATCATCATTTCATTATTTCAAGGCAATGCAGTGCAGTTTTTATGCCAGTTGGTTGGTTTGGCCTGTTGTTCTAACACCAGAAAACACCAGTTTGAAGATAAATCAAGCTTGATGTTCCAAATAGGACAGTATTATGCAGTTTTTACAGCCGTGCGCTGAAATGACAAGAACATCACAGAAAAACACATTCAGACCTCATCATGAATTAAATATGCAGAATATGTCACAAACTTTTTCACTAGTGCTGATACCTTGCTTTTTAAGTTTTCATTTATCAGGCAGTTCCTTGGGTTACACTTTACTTGAAGGGGTGTGCATAAGACTGACATGACACCTTCATAATCATGACACGACACACGTCATGAATATGAAGGGTTTTTATGCATGTTTATGACAACTGTCATTAAGTGTCATTCGCTCAGTTATGTAATTTTTAATGCAAAGATGACATTGTTTGAGATGTCTTTGTTATGGGCTATGGTTAGGGGTAAGGGTAGGGGTAGGGTTAGGTCAAATAATGTCATATTTGCATTAAAAATGACATAACTGAGCGATTTACACTTAATGACAGTTGTCATAAACATGCATAAAACCTTGTTCATATTCATGACATGTGTCATATCATGATTATGAAGGTGTCATGTCAGTATAGCTTCTCAGCCAATCGTTTAATGCTACTGTTCGAACGTCTCGTTACGTTATTAATATTCATGAGCCTCAGGATACCAGCGGTATTCCCCTATATGAGGCTGAGAGACCATATCACAACATATTATCGTGATAGACCAGTCTGACGCATATGCTGTAATAACTGTTGTTATTAGCAGTGTTGGGGAAAGTTGCTTTTTAAAGTAATGCGTTACAATATTGCGTTATTCCATTAAAAAAGTAACTAATTACGTTACTTAGTTACTTTTTATGGAAAGTAATGCGTTACGTTACTTTTGCGTTACTTTTTAAATCTGGACAGGGCTTGCTTGTTTGTTTTTAAAATAAAAAAAGTTCTATTTTTGGCAAATATAAAAGCCTTTTCACACCAAAAGTGAAATGAATAAGCCTCAGGCTGAAGGGAAAGTAAAGTTACGTCCGTAGAATACAGAAGAAGAAATTTCAACACACAAATGTTTGTCTAGAGTCATTTTTGCTTAATAGTACGGTTGAACTGGATCATCGAAGACATTGTTTAATAAAATGGGATTAAATACATAAATGATATTAGTGTCATTTAATATTTAATTATTGCAGGTTTGCGTCATATTCTGAGTTGCATTATTTTTATTAATTTCAAGGAATACTGAATCTGTGTTTTTTTTTGTGTGAGTGAGATGAATTAATGCATATTCATATTTATTTTAGAACTACAGTAACATCTGATTTCTCTCAACATGGGGGCAGGAGAGCTGCCAATCAATAAATTGAAAAAAAAGTAACTTGCGTTACTTATTTGAAAAAGTAACTCAGATATTCTCTTGTAAATTAAAAAGTAATGCGTTACTTTACTAGTTACTTGAAAAAAGTAATCTGATTACATAACTTGCATTACTTGTAATACATTACCCCCAATACTGGTCATTATCTTATGTTAGCTTATTAAATGCATTAACAACCCTAAGATTGTGATTTGGTACAACCCATAACATCAAAGTTTATGCCATATGGCAGAGATTAATTATTATAAGCCTGTTTTCTACCATTGTTCTATGTATTTTAATTTCTAAGATTAAAATAAAATAATAAAACACTTAGCATTGTTCAGGCAAAATTTCATGTTCAAGTTGGTCAGTGAATTCAGTGTTGACCAAAGCTCAGCTGTTTGGTTTAAAAGTGACTTGTGTTTGAGCTGTACTTCATTCATCGCTACACTACCATCAATAGGTAATTGTGGTAATTGCATCTTTTTATCTCACAATTCTGAGTGTACATCTCACAATTCAGACTTTGTTTCTTGCAGTTCTGAGGAAAAAGTTAGAATTGTGAAATATCAACTTGCAGTTATAAGAAAAAAAAGTCAGCATTGCAAGATATAAACTCAACTGCATGAGATAATTACAGAATTGCAAGATGTAAACTAAGAATTCTGGAAGAAAAAAAAAGTCAGAATTGCTAGATATTAACTCGAAATTACATAATATAAATTCAGAATTGCAAGATTAGAATTGTGTGATATAGATACAGAATTGCAAGATATAGACTAAGAATTCTGAGAAAAGTCAGAATTGCGAGATATTAACTCAGAATTGCATGATAAATTCAAAATTGCAAGATGTAAACTTGGAATTCTGAGAAGAAATGTCAGAATTGTGAGTAATAAACTTGCAATTTCAAGAAAGAAAAAAAAGTCAAAAGTGTGAAAATATGCTAATTATTATTATCTTTTCCATAAAAAACAGAATTGTTAGATGTAACCGGTCACACTAGCCTATGGAGAGGAACGAGGAGACAAGGCGTAAACTCACACAATAGTCTTTTAATTCCAAAATCCAAGGGCTAACACTGGG